TCACAAATTGAAATTTTGCAAGTTAATCATATTCTTTGAGATCATTTAGAACTTTATGTTCAACCTGTTCTCCAACTGCACACTCAGCTTGTTTAAATTTAACTAGCCTTTAAGACAATGTAATCAATCTTACCATGCTTTGGACTCCTGATGAAACTAATTCTTTAAAGCTAAGCTGAACACATATTGTTTATCTTATACCGTGTTCCCTATTGTGACTCAGTTATGCCACTGACTCAGAACAATGCATATGTGAGATGTGGCAACTAGACCTAAGATTATTACTGAAAACAACAATAATGTTGAAAGCCATGTGTCCCCCACAAGTATTGGAAGCAACATGCTTGGTTGATGATGTCGGTGGTTCTGTATGCTGTCCTGAGTTAGTAGGGTCAGAAAAATAACTCCTTCCCTTGTATACTCTGGTTAAAGATTCTCTAAGACAAATTTCTACCTTCCTTTCTCATTCTCTGACTGATGTGCTATTCAATTAATATAAGAGACCTTTTATTCAAGAGGATAGAACAAAACAATTCAGAAGGAGCAGTTGTCAGAACAGATCAGGCTCACTCTTGGTTTAAATGATTCCAAGAGATGTTTTTTTCTTTTATGCAGCATGGCTTCAACACATCTTTAATTTTTAGTACTGTCTTTGCCAGGCTTTGTTTTCAACTTTATATAAGTTTTGGAAAATGAGTTCCGTTTCCCATTTTGGGAAAATAAAGAGTTATAGTGGTTCATTATCTTAAATGCTAGAGATCCCTTGAAAACTCTGGAGGGTTTCTCTTACTCTGCTACTAGTCATGAGGGCCCAGATCTCTGTAACCCAAGATGTTTAAACCACAAATGAATACCTAACTTTGTTGAGTTAAAGATTGTTAGGAACAAGTTATTTCTGAAGAATAATTTTATCCTTTCCACTATCTGTGTCAACTGAAGCCCTCCTTCAAGTTTGTTACCCAAAGCTCTTGTCATCCTCTGTCCTAAATGCCCTCATCTCTTCCCTGCTCTCCAGCTGCTGCTGTTTCAAGTAAGGCCATACAGTCTGTGGGGCTGACATGTTTGTTTTCCTAAGCACCTTGCATCTGTCTCCCTGTTCAAGCCTGAGTGTCAGTGAAATGGTTAGGGCACAGTTTGGAGCCAGGCTGCTGGGTGTAAAGCCTGGATCTGTCATGTACCAGCCATATGACCAACGACCAACAAAACATGATAATGCTGGAAATTATATCTCATTGGATTGTGGAAAACATATATGATTTAATAGTCACTTAAAACAAAGCAAAATCCTTAGAATACCCAAGTTATGTGATGAGCATGTGCTTTAAAGGTTGAAATTCCAGACTTTAGCTGCTGTAACTCACCTTAGTTTCTTCAACTACTGAATTTTAAATGAAAATGCCTTCTTCCTCATTGGTGCTATTTCTGGTTCAGCAGCACCCTCTTGCCTTAGATTGTCCTTCTGATGCCAGAGAGATTTTCTAAGACTCTGACAATTCGAGTGCCCTTCACAGTACATTCAGACAACTTTATACAACTGATACAATCCTCATGGCTGATGCCCTGGAACCAACAGAGGGCATATGTCCTACGTGAGGGCTGTGGGATACATCATGGACTCAGCTAACCACGCATCTGAAGGTGACCACAACCATCTCCACCCTAAGTTCCACTTTCAAACCAGCTCCTTTCTAGATGTTTCTCAGACTCAACATTTAGCATCCCAGCTAAACTCCTCTTCTTCTTTCTTCCCTTCTCTAATTGACTCCCACTATTCTTTTGGCATTCACATTCACCTCCTCCCCAACACACACACACACACACACACACACACACACACACACACACGGAAGATCCCTGGAGGTCCCCTCCCTCACCAAGCACTAGCCACTTCCCATAGTTCCCAGCTTCTGAATTTCCTTTGAGTGCCTCCAGCTGCCAGATCTTTGCTGGACCCTTGTTCTCTGTGATGCTGCTCTTCTCTGTCCTTCACCATGTTCACCACAGAGCTCTTTCACAAATGCAGTCTGACCTGCTTTGCATTCCTCAAGAGCTCCTTGGTCAGGTTCCAGGATTTGGGCTCTCACGCCCTCCTGGACCTAACTACTACCCTGTACAACGGGACACAAAGCTACTCATCTGTGTCCAGCCAACTGTTCCTTTTCAGCCCTCGCTGCCAGGTTCCTCAGATTCCCCCGGCCTTCTCTTGCAGTCTCTTTCCCCACCTCTCTACTGGGTTATTTCCGTTAGCACATGCTCTTGTCTCTCTTTTAGTTTCCTTTTGGTCCATCTTTGCATTACCAGCAGGGTGATCTCATGCTTGTCTCTGGATGTTTGTCATAGGTCCAAGCCTGACCAGTGCCCATCTGACCTCTGCCCTTCTCAGCCACTGAGCCTGCTTCATGAGAGCCAAAGGAAATGGCAGCAGCTTTATCCTCAGCTCACTCTGCTCCCCCAGCCTCTGACATTGCTTCCCATTCCTGAAAGCATCTCCTCTTATATCAATCGGCTTGGAAGAAAAAAATCCTATGAAATACCCCTTCACCATTTCTTATTTCCCAGTCTACACTACCCTTCCCCACCCCACCTCACCCACCGGCACCAGCTCCCTGGTTAGCCCCATCTGTCCACTATTGGGTTTCTGTTAACTTCCTCATTTACAGTTCCAACCTGGACTTGTTTGGTAGGTTCTAACTCTAGAGCCCTTTCATACTGAATATTTTTATCTGAACCTGCCATTAGCATTTAGAATTCACCATGTTCCAACTGACCCTATCACCCTATCTCAGAACTATATCTACATATCCACATATAGGCCATGCTCATGCACAGGCATGATCACACTAGACAGGTGTATGGTCACAGACACATTCACACACATTTGTACACACATACCAACCTTGCCCTAAAGTCTTCTATATCAGCCAGTGTACACTGTTTCTTGCTGGGGAACTGAAGACTCCACCTTGATGTCCCCTTTCGCTCATCCCCAAATCCTTCACACATGATTCCCCACATATGTCTTGAATGTACCCATTTCCTCTTGCCCTATCCGAATTACCCCCATCCCTGGCCTGGACTTCTGCACTAGGTTCCTAATTGCTCTACCTCTCACTTTTTCCCGTCGCAACTGGCCCAATCTCTATACCCTACAGAGGGCTTTATTTTTGAACCAGCTGCACTTAGAGTGAGGCACAGCAGCATGATGGAGAAAATTCCAGAGAAGCAAAGTGTCATCCAGAAGACAGAGAAAGGCTGTGTTCCACTTGAGATACGTGAGAGTGCAAAGTGTGAAATCTTAGACGCAGAGAAGAAAGGCCAGTGTGGCCAGAGCATCGCACACCAGACAATCCTAGGGCAGCATGAAGAAAAGTGCAGAGGATGCGCTCTGCAGGCCAGGGAAAAGTGTTTTCATAATCACATA